GACTTATGATGGTGCTTTTTAGCTAGACTGGCCTTTCTGGTGATGAAAGGCAAAAGGAAGTTATAGACAATTTCTTTGCCACAAAGCTGTGCAGAAATAGCATGTAGGATTTGGGTATGTTTTGTTTAATGCCTGGTTTATCTGGCTAATACAAAGGACACAGGGAAGAGGAATAGGTGAATTTGTATGAAATGCTCTGAAAAGTGCCTTGGATTTGAATATTTCTCTATCCTCTTGGCAAAATCCATAGTCGGCATTTTCTTTAAATACAGTTGGTTCTGTTCGTGCTTCCCATTTGAGGAACTGTGATGGTTTTGGTTAACCTGAAGGGGTCCTAATTTGGCACCCGAATTCCTCTTTTCTCTTGCCCCCCAAAATTGCTCTGAGCTCTTCTGGAGTTGTCTGTAACATCTCTCCCAGGGGCTGGGTCTAGCAGGCTTTTTTCAACTTACCTTTCTTGAACTGTATGAAGGAGGAAATTCATATTTTTGACAAAGTCTAGTTATTAGCATTTTTCTTTTGCTCACCTGTTTTAAGTGGAGTTCTTTCTGAATTGGGATTTGCATGATTATTTCGAGAAAAACACGAGTTTTTGCATTTGTATCTGCTTCCAGACCTTCAATATATCCTGAAAATTAAGGAGTTTTTTTTTAATAAGTATTTTGATAGTTATTTGAAAAACCTGAAACAAGGAATGAATGGGAACGAATTGCAAGTGTACATCAGATGGGATAAAACTGGTAATTTTTCCTGTGTGCTGAAAAGAGTTAGAAACCTTGGAAAAAAAGTCCAAAGTTTTTAATTGGTAACTAAAATGTTTATCTCTGCTTTACTGATAATTAGTGCCTGAATTTGTCAGCTCACATTGCAGAGCTGCAGCTTCTTAGATCTGAAACACTTTCTGTTTTCTGTCCAGTTGGTTTCCTGTAAAGTGCTGAATTATTCTAGCTTTTATGGGTCATTGTTAAAAATGGCAGGAAGGGTCATTGTTAAAAATGTTTTCAGAACTTTGATAACCCGTTTATCAACTGATTCACATGTTTAATCAGTTAATAGGTTTTCCTTTTCAGTGCATGGGAATTTCTTTGTTTATCTTAACTGAGTAACTGTTTCTACAGTGGAAAGAACTGTAGTTGACTGATAATCTTTCCAAATATGCGGAGTTTGCTCTTATGATGCAAGTTATATGGCTGTATTCATAAGGCTCTATTCATAGGGAACAGCTCACCAGAATCGAGCGCAAGTGTCTGCCTGTGAATGAAACCCCCAAATGCCCCGGCAGCCTGGGAATACAGAGCATGGAGCTGCAGTGATTAGGCAGCGTGTGATAAGGCTTTTAAAGGCACGTGGGTACTTAGTAAAGATAGGTGGGTGCTTTGGAGAATGTTACTGGGTTGGTAAGTGCCAAACATGTACGATTCCTCTGGTACCTGGTCAAGAATTTCTTGAAAGGATAATTTCTCCCCAAAAACGCTGAATCCAACTGGGGGAATTCAGTGTAGGCTGCTGTTGGATAGCCTACTACTGGATCATCATCTCTTCATCAGAGCAAACAAGCCCAGGGCCACCTCTCTCCATAGGAAGCCCACTGTGCCCTTTGCCTTCTTTTTTGTGAGCATACTCTTGGCTCATATTCAGCTTGCAGACAGTTGTGTTTTTTTCCATTTTTTCTGCCATTCCCATTGTAATAAAGCCAGTCTGCTCCCGTGTTTATAAACAAACTTCAGGCCAAGTAGAATTGTAAACTTTATTTTGCTTTTTTGAAATAAATTCAGTGACGAACGTGTTTGCTTTCTATGTACAGAGCAACTTGGCATGAAATAATACACAATAATAAAGTTACAAAATTTAAGTTTACATAACATTTATCTGCCTTGAAATTTCAGATGCTTTGAGAGCCCTGCAACACTCACTTGGGCTGGTAACAGAACCATGCTCCTACAATCACAGCAGCTTCTGAGAATTGGCATCACATTTGCACATGTGAGAAAGAGTTAGCAGCTTGTTTTACGTGATCTGGTTTCTTCCTAGCTATGTTCATTCCAGTTCCCTCGTGAAGGAAATGTGTTTAGACGAACACAAGCCCGAAGTGAAAACCCAGGCTGTGCTGGAAGCCCAGACATGGGAGTTTCGGTGGTGTGCTTCGGACTGGGGAAGACACAAACGTATTAGTACAAAGTCAGCCCAGTTTGACAGCCTTGGTTTCATGCATTGTGGCTCAGATCTAAACTATAAAGATGTTTCTGCCTTCCTCCGACGAGTGGCACAGAGGTGAGATGGAGTCTGTTCTGTCCTGATGAGATACCACTGGGGACTGCTGCTGGAGAGGCTTGGATGGAAAAAGCAGCTGGGAGTGGTTATGGACATGAAAAATGTGTACCCAGAGCCTGGAGCTTCAGGTTTGTATTAAACCTGTGCGGGGCTGTGGTGCCACCAGAAGGGACCCAGTGCTTTTTCAGCTGATGTGATGGAGAATGAATGGGGAGGAGGCTGCAGGGGGGTTATTTTTTCTTGTGGCCACTAAAAGCAGGAGATATGAGAGAAGCAATGGGATCCTGTGCACGTGGGCGAGAAGAAAGCAGAAGTTTGGGTTAAGCCATCTGTAAAAGTTTGGTGAGTCAGCCACTGTTTAATGTATCATTAATTCAATGTTTTATTTGATAAAGCAAAACTTCCTGAGACTTCAGCAGGCACAAGGCTTTAGGAAGCGTTGCTCTGTGTCTGCTACTGAAAACAGGGTTAAATGCATGTCTTCGTTTCTTCCTTCTGAGATAACGTGCAGCCAGAAAACCTGTGAAATATTCCACTGGCTTCCAGAAGATCCCCCTGCCCTCACCAAGCCTGGTGCTCCACGATAACAGAACTGGAAAACAACTGTGTGTAATGAAAACCAATGGCACCGGGACTGCTTGTGGTGTTCGAGTATTTTTCCAGTTAAAAAAAAACATTTGTCAGAAAACAAAGATCTTTATTTAACAAATACTGTTGTGAAGTATGGGGAAGATAAATGTAGTGTGGTGTTTGAAGCCTTTTCAGAATCACAGAATCACAGGTTTTTTGGCTGTTTTTGTTGTCGTCAGCTTTCTGTCCTGTTCTCCTAAAAACTTCTCTTTGTTGAGAGGCAGGAGCAAGTAAGATCTGATGCGTTGCTGAAGCCTTTTGAAATTTAAAACCAATTCATTAGGTACAATGCAAGTGTAGAGCGCTGGCAATTATTAGGATTTCAACAGCAAATATTGCAGCCCATGAAACATTAGACTTATTTCCTTCTTGTTTAAACCATCGTAATGCGTTTCGCCCCGGCTAAATGTGCTCCTGAGCCTTTCTGTCAAAGTGAATCATGATCTAATGCTCACCAGATTAATCCTAAATGCGGCAATCTTTCCCTTCCCATTCTGGCTCTTCCTCCTATGATACTCTTCTTTGTCTAGGCAGCTACATGCAAGTGTGGGTGAGGAGATGTCACTTCTGTACGGGTGCAGACACACGCGGCGGTGTCGCCCAAGGAAGCGAGCTCCGGTTGCGCTCAGCAGAGCCTGCCCTTCCCCGCGGTCTCCCCTTTTCCCTGCGCACATAGAAAAAGCCAAGCTGATAATTAGGTAAAAAGCATCATAAGATCCATGTCTGGAAGGCCGGCGTGGCCCAGAAGACTTCTATTTGGGTGAATTTCTGGGACGAACGCGAAGGATCCTGGCTACTTAATTGCTCGCTCGGCTGCACCCCGAGAAGATTTGGGTTAATGACCGGCGGGCCCGAGGCTGCTGCTCAGTGTGGCGGGCCCTGAGTGGAAGAGACAAGCGTGGCCGGGCCCTCGGGAGCCACCGCCGCCGGCGGCCACCTGCGCTGCGGGGTTATTAGAACATTGCACGGCAAAGCGTTTGTGGCGTTGGAGCACCAGGCCCAATTAACGGGCCTGAGAGCCCCTCTCCAGCCAGCCATCACTAACACTCCAGATAAAATTTGACATCTTTTCCATCCCCCCCGGCCCCTCTGCCGAACTCTAATTAATTTCAGGGGGTTTTACCGAGGGACCGTGGCGCTGCTGAAAAGGCAGAGGACTTTGCTTGGGTAATCAGCTTAAATACCTGTCTGTTTCCTGCTCCAAACTTCCCATTTGGGAGACATAAATACTGTTTTTATTTTTAAATCTTTTTTTTTTTTTTTATCTCCAATTTCCTCTGGTTTTTCTGATGTGCCCCGTATGAGGCTCCATTTCAAAGGGCAGGATGGCAGGGCCTGCAAACGGGATGCAGACGGGAGCTTTTAAGGCTGGCACCGAGTGCCTGTACTGGAGGCAGGGGTAACGAGGGGTTTCACAGGGAATAGGTACCTCTTCCCTGACGGTCACAAACGGTGATAATTAGGAAGGAAGGCACAGTTTCAGTTATTTTTATGCTTAAACACTGCTGCTGAAATAGGCATTTTGCATCTCCTGCTGTAGCAGCAGCTCAGTGGTTTGAGGTTCAAAAGGTAAGTTTGTTGAACACACTTTTATAACTATATTCATCTGGACTCTGTAGGTTGTAAGATAAGCTTTAAAATGCTGCTATTGCAAGCCCATGTATGGACAGAAACTATTACAGAAGGCTCTGGGAATTAAATATGAATATGCAGTGCAGCTTCTGCCAGTATTAAATTTATTCTGTCAGCACTCAGGAGAACTGCTGTCAAGTGGAAGGGTGCTACACAGGGTGAGGCCTTAGGCCTTTACTCAGGTGAAAGGTGTTTAATTTGGGGAGTGTGACTAACCTGTGGAAATATTCCTATATTTCAGATTATGTGTGCACTCAGTTTTTTTCACTGGGTTCACCAAGAACTTTTGCCCATCATATCCCCCTTCTTAAAGTGATGGGGAAATCCTGCTTTCTAGAACAACAGCTGAGGATCAGAGATATATCTTGCTTTTAAGAGTGGTTGGTTTGTTGGCTTTATGGTTGCTTGGTTTGGTTTTGTATATGGCCAGTATTTCCCTAACTTAATGTTCTTTCTTTTTCTTACAGAGCAGTAGCAGTTGGCCTAAAAAAGAAACCAAACCACCTCCCAGCCACAGCCGCTTACCATGGCTGACACTGGCGAGCCTTGGAGCACTGGTGACCTCCAGTAGATGGCAGCCAGCAAAAACCTGGTTGGACCTGCAGAGATCTAGCACAATGAAAGTGAGTATAGCATCCTCTTTCCAGCTGATAATTTCTCAAAATCTCTTCCCAGACATTTTAGGAATCTCTCTAACACTGCTGAGCGTTTTTATTCTGGGGCTGGAAGTGATGCTGTGCAGGATTCAGAACATTGTTCTTGGACACTGGGGAGGTTTCTAGCAGCAGGTAGATGACACATGAAAGGAGAGGTTCATCATCTCCTTAAAGCCCAAGTAAGGCTCTGTGTGGCTATTCTGGGTTTCACATGTCTCCATGTGGAGCCTGCAGGTGTTTGTGTGTAGCTGCACACCGTGTGTGGTTGGCAGCCTGCGTTCAGCACCTAACAGAAATCTCAAAACAAGTATTCAGGAGCTACATGGATATGAAGAAGTGGTCTGTAGGAGGACCAAACTTTTTAGCCCTCCACTATAAAGGTCAATTTTTGTTTCAAAAGGAAGGGGCTGGGTGGTGTTACTGTTAATCATATCAGTTGGTTGGAAATAGGATTGGGCTCCAAATCCGGAGTTCCCTAGGTGTTTTGTAATCACAGTGCCTGGACTCAGCTCAGCTCCTAGAAGGGCATTAAAACAAATTGACAGGCATTTGCAAGAGTACTGCACACAGTATTTCCAAAACTAAGCTTAGGTAGCTAAATGGCAGACACATTTTCTTAAACATTAACATGTTAACAGTAATTGTTAAAATGTGATTTTCTCTGGGGGAAGGTATTATATCCTGTACCTCATGACAGCAATAAAAGCCAGTATCCATTTCCATCTATCCCAACTGGAAATGGATAATACCTTCCCTGACGGATCTAGCGGGAAGGACGTACTCTGTTCATGGGTGTTTGGTAATTGAACAATTACTTTTTTGTATTTTAATGATGTCAGTTTACACATTTGCTAGCATTTCTTTTAAAATGTCATCCTGCAGTGCTGCTATTTCTCCACTGCTGTTTTTCTAGCATTCTTCAATGATGAATCATGAAAGTTAACTTTATATATATGTAATGCTTTATATATATACGTATATATTTATATAAAAATCTGGGTGGTGGCAGGGAGAGACTTATTCTGTCTGCCTCATCTTTTGTTTTGATCTAGTTGCTATAGAAATACTCAGATCAATTTTGACAGAATAAAATACTACAAATTACATTGTCGGATTACCTCATTACAGAGGGCTGGCACTTCGGATTGCAACATTACTGAAACGAAAAGCGTGAACACTACAGGAATTTCTGCTCTATGGAAAAATGTTATTTTTGGATTCTTCGGGAAGGCATGCATATAAAACCACCTGGTTCCCTGGTGAGTGACTAGTCCTTGAGACCAGAGAACTTTCGTCTTAATTTTTGGTTGAGGTAGGTGATGTCATAGTTGGACATACATTTACATTAAGCTGCAACTGGCATCTCAGCGACAAAGATCTTCATGTTTTTCTATTAAACACTTAGGCAACGAATTTCTTACAGCAAGACTGATGAAATGGGTCTTGTTCCTTCATTTTTTTTTGGTCATCTACTATCTGTGTGTCGTTGTATTGATATTACTAACATTGTTTTAGTAATTTGCCCTCCCTGATTGAATATACCTTAAAGTCTCAAAGCTGGCGTATGTTAGAAACAACTGCACTTCAGTTCATTAGCAGTAAAGGGCATGCTTTTAGAACAGCAGATTTGGGATGTAACCTTGCTTGCAATGGGAGGTATCAGTGTCTTGTCTGTGCTGCGTGGAGATGACCGTGAAATCTCAGGTTTCTGTGGTTTTCCTTTCCATGCTGATGTAACTTACACATGTTCACATGCGGATACGGGACTTGTTTGAAGAAGTTTTGCAGTTTGAATCAGGGAAGTGTCTCGTGCTCTAACTGATGGTCGGACTTTATAGCTGTGTTAGTAAAAGACACCTTTAGTGCTAGTTTTTATTTAGGAACATCAGTGTTACTTGTACACAGGGAGACAATCTGTGTGACTTGGCAAACGCTTTAATCGCTCTGTTTTTCTTCTAGTCAAGAATATTACTCTTGCTATATCTAATCTAGAGTTGTAAATTGCAGCAGAGGTACAAATCCAAAACAAACATTTTGAAGAATTTGAATGGAGTAGAGCCCCAATTTCCATTTCAGTGCTCTCTCTGTTGTCCGATTTGTTAAACTCAAGTGGTCCCATGTGCGAGTAGCATGACTGCCAGAAGTGCTCTCCAGCCATCTGCTTTTTTGGTAAGTCTTTGATTATTTCTTTGTCCATTTTTCTGTCCAAAATTAGAACTGGCAACTCAATTGGTTGGTTAATATTATATTTTTTATAATTTAACATTTCCAGCTTATGGCTAGGAAATGGCAGCAAGGTAGTAAAAAGCACAAGAAGTAAACTTTCCTACTGAAGTCTGACTGTACTGTGGTGAAGTTTTGTACCATGTTGTTGTAGCAATTGAACAGAAAAAGGTTTTCTGGTTGTGGGTAATGTCAAGCTGGAAGAAGCAGATATGGCAGGCTGCATTAGCTTGACGAGCTGTCTTGAAAATGTTGTGAAGAGCTGCCAGGCACTGGTAGAGGCATTTGCAATAGAGGTGAATATAGAAATGAGCGCTGCATTTAAATCAGAACCAAACCAGGCAGTAGAAGAACAAAAGTTAACAAGCTGAGGGGCTTCAGCAGCTTCCAAAGACAGAGGTCTCTCAACTGGTAGCTAAAAGAAACTGGTTGTCCATGTAGGTCTGCTAGGGAGGCTGTGTGCTTTATGGCTCTACAGAAAACTGGTTCACAGCCCTGTGGGAGAGGCTCTGATCTGTATCCTGCAACTGGCTGGTGCACGTTGCTGGATTGCCTCAATGGAAGCTTCACCAGGGTCTGTGTTACTGGTCCTCCTCGGCCAGGTTATCAGAAGGAGCCACCGAGCCTTTCTGAGGCTGTGCTTCATCTGAGGCTGTGGTTCGTCTGGGTTCATCCAGCAGCCGCTTTGAAACTGCAGTGCTGGGGTGGTGAGAAGGAGACAGGCTCTTGCTTTGGTACAAGGTCACATTTCTGAATGTGCCATGTTCAGAGGCTGCTGCGGGCCCCCTAACACAACCTCTTGGTCCATCCTCATCATTTCTCTTACTGTGCAGGCAAAGGGAAAATATTTCTTCCAGATCACAAAGGGCTCTGGAAAATTAATTCCCTTTCCACTTTGAGAATCGCCCCCTGCTTCTGTAGGAGACAACACTTTTCATGGCAGCATTATACAAAAAATCAAACATCCACAAAACCGTGGTGGTTTCAGTGATGCTGCCGAGAGCAGGCTGCTCTGGCCGTGGTGGATGTGGCTGGGCTGCCTCTCTTGATTTGCAGGCTGCTAAATGTGAGCAGTGCTCCGAGCTGTCAGGCTGGAGAAAAGGCAGGCACCGTTTCCGAATATACAAATGCTCAACACATAAAAAAAATATTTTTGTTTTAAATTCTAATAAAGGGGGGGAGGGAGAGGAAAGGGGAGTAATTTAGCAAGTGGGGATGTGGAGGGAGCCAGCCAGGCTGGGTTTGCTAATATCTGAACGAGGCTGCTGAAAAATGTCTTAAATCTGTCGGAAGGGCCTGAAAGCTCGACTCTGCCCACTTCAAGTTAGTGGTGACAGGATCGGGCCCTCCATTACTTTTTTATGTGGTGTTATAAATTACTTTCCCACGTTTCCAAAGACATTAACGAATCTTTTCAAGGCATGTTGTGAAAATCATTGTATGTGTTACTGAAACTACTTATCCATATGTACAGTAGGCTAGCGCACTGTATGGGCTTTTTCCCTTTGTTTTGCTTTTCCACAAAATGGGCAAACTAAAAATCTTTCCTCCCCTCCCCGCTTTGAATTTTTCCAGGTAAAATGATGACAGATGTCCTCAGCTTGGTTTCGTATAACATGCTGCTTACTGGAAGAACAAATATAGCTCCCTGCCCTTTCAGTGTAAACTTGGATTTGTTTTTTAGGTATTTGTAATTTCCTTTAAGCCGTTTATAAACAGGTTAGAAATACCATTTCATGCCGCCCGACTCTATTAATAATCAGAAGTCTTTATATGGGTTCTGTAGGATCTGTGAGGTTTGGAACAAACTGTATGGTAAACAAACATCTCCAAACTCTTCCTGCTGCAAAAATATTTGCTGTATTGTTTTGGTGTTCCTCTGAGTATTCGGCCTTTACTTGGAGCCTTGCAGTCAGGGATTTAACTGCTAATTGGGTTTTCCAGGAAGAGTATTTTATTTTATTCCCTTAGGGCACAAAAAGGAGTCGTTTTTGCAACAACATTTGTATTGCATTAAAAAATGAAACCCGGCACTGGCAAACTGTGAGAACCGAGGGTTTGGTGAGTGAGCCAGAGGGCTGCTGCCTGGTTTTGCCCTCCTGCTGCAGTGACACAGCCGAGCCCAGGCAGCGGAGCGCTGCCACCGGACCTGGTGAGCTCCAGAGGGTCTTTTACATCCCAGTTACTCCCTGATACCACGGGACTGGAAGGCTCCCCTGGCTGTCTGAGTGCACGCCCCTGCTGCTTCCCGTGTCCTCTTCTGGCTCAGGTACCCAGGCCAGGCAGATTTGATGCGCTGCACCTGCGGCAGAGCACCGGGGGGGGACAGGGTGAGGATTTCTGGAGAAGGTGGGAGGTCGAGGGTTCCTAGCGATGGGCTGGTGAGTGTTAAAGCTACATAAAGGAGGGGGTAGGAGGATGTGGGACAGAGCTTTGGACAGCGTTGAGCTGCTAGGGCTGTGTTACTGCTCTGCGTGCCTCCCCATGGGGTGTCCCAGGGACAACTCTCACTGTTCCAGTGCAGGCAGGGATGCAGCAGTCCTTTTTCAGGTTGTGGTCTCCTTGATTGCATTTATCAGTTTTACCCTGCTGTGACCGTACCATACCCAAGGTCGTCAGCACCCCAACAGCCAGGGAAGCGAGCAGCCGTGCAGGGTGCGCTGTGAGGTTTCAGTGGAGGAGCTGGTGTTGGGACTTTGTGGCTGCCCGTTTCCATCCCAGGAACGCTGCAATTTGCTGCTTCCTCCGGCTGCAGCTTCTCCCCTCCCTCTCATCAGCACGGGTGCTCAGATTACCCTGGGAGCTGATTAACGTCCTCCCCCCTGGTTAGTGTTCAACCAATTTCGTGAGCTGACTCAGTTCACTGCAGGGTCAGGCCAGCAGCAACCGGGGCGAGGGCTGAGCCCGTGGCAGAGGTGGCACCCAGCAGGCGGTTCAGAGCCACCACTTGGCGTGCCAAGCAGATCGCTGGATTAGCTCTGCTAGAGGTTACCCCCGGTCTCTTTTAGGTAGCTGTTTGCAGCCGGGATTGTTCCATGGACCTTGTTTGCAGTCTGCTCCTTTAGGTCCTTGCGTGGACGCCAGGTCATGGTGAAAAGGGAGCAGAGGGCTGGGGATTGCTGAGAGCGGGGTGTTTTGGGGCTTTGCCTCTGTGGTGGTCTCTTCTGCCCCTGCATTTGCTGGTGGCAACACTGCTTCTTTCGAGACTGTAAGAACACAAGAGAGGACTTTTCTGAAGTTCTACTTCTAAAGTGCTTAGCCGTCCTCCAGGGGCTAAAAATGAAAAACCACCGGTGGCATCAACGAGATGAAAATTTGATCAATGCTAGTCCTGGCTGAAAATGGCCCCGTGATGTCCTTCTGGCTGAGATGGGCTGACTCGTATAACCCGAGGTGGCGCAGGAACCTGGGGGGACTTGTGGATGGGGACAAAGGGCGAGTGGAGGAATAATGAAAACCATGAATTTCAGCGTGGAGCGGCAGGCCTTGGGAGGATTTCTGGATGCAAGTTACAGACCTGTAGCCCAGGCTGTGAATTACTTTGCATTTTGTTGAGCGGTTGCTCACGTGAGTGCTCTCATTAATTTGAAATGAAATGTGAATCAAGAGATCCCTAGCATCAGTTGAGGACTGTAATATTGTTGCTCATATATATATATTTAATTATTATTATGTTTTTAATTCTAGCTTAGCATGTTGATAGGTAAGTTAGATCTAAGGCAGACAGTTGGCTGTTCCTGTTCTTACACCTCAAGCTCCCTGCATTCAGATGTAAACCACTGCCAAATCCCCACCTTAAAAAAGCTGCAGTTATCACTTGGATATCAGCAGGTAAAAGTACTTTGGGCTTCAAGTAGGATGAGGGCTGTAGAAAAAAAAAAAAAAAAAGAAATCATTGATAAACTTATTTCTGTGACCACTAACAAACTTTGTCATTCACTCCACAAGATAAATGCATTGGGTTAAAGGTTTAAAATGTGCAGTTAATAGCTGACTGAGAGCAGGGAAGATGGTGGTGTTTGGGACTTCAACGTTTTTATTATCTGTGTTTGCTGTGGGCCCAGAAGCAATCGCTAACTAAACCAAAGGTTTTCGTTTATGGATAATTCCGGATATCTCCTTGGACAGAAAGGTGGAAAGGTCCTGAATACTGTTGCAGCAGATGACTGCCTTACAACAGCACTGCAGTGTAGGTTGGTGTCACCAAAGAAGTTATTTCTAAGAAAAGACAGGGCTCAGAAGCACGGTGATCAACCTGGCTTTTACTGCTTTGTCCTCTCTACATGTAAAATTCCGGCACCCACTTCTCTTCTCATTTATGTTCTGATTGGTGATAACCTTTCCATGAACTGTCTGGGGTCTTATGCTTTCACCTGTTTAAATAAATGACATTTATTAAAAAAAACAATAACAATAACACCAAACCCACATTGGTTTAGGGCATAAATCTACCACTTCAATTGCCTGAACCTGTCAGTGAATTTCTGACACCAAGTTATGTTATTTAATGAGTGCTATTAGGTAGTTCTGTCACTTAATAGGATTGAGGGTTGGAAATGCCATGTAATATCACTTCACTGGAGAAAAAATCAACAAACAGCCCTCACTGAAAACCTCACGTCCCCTTTGATGTCGGTCAGACCTGCTGTCACTTCAGAAGGGAACCCGCCGGGGCTGTTTTCACAGGGCTACAGCTGCCATTTGAGGAGGAGAGGCAGCAGTTATTCTTGGCGATTTTACACTAGGGGCACCCAAAAAAACAATTCTCCCACCATCTGACCGAGAGTGAGGAAATATAGAATAGTTATGGCAGAAGTTATAGTTAGGTCGGTAAAACATCATCGAGTTCAAGGAGAGAGAAGGGCAGGCTCTGCACATGGAAAAACCCTAATGGCCATTCTTGTCATGTGTTTTCACTTATCCTAAGGCATCGCCTGAAATCCCTGCTTAAGTTCGGGGCTACTCCGTGTGCTGTAGATTTAGTGAGGTTCAGAATTTGTCTTGAAGAATCGCTGATGCTCACACAGGTGTCCATCTGGTTGCCCTCTGTAGGGGCTGCATCTCTGCCAGCAGGAGCGTTAATGCCTTGGAGAGGAAAATGGCACGGCCTGGAGACAGGAGGATGGGAGCAGAAGTGCGGCTTCAGGTAGTGCTCTGGGGGCTCATGCCACTGGGCAGCTTAACCCCGTGCTCTGAGCTTAATCTCTGGATGTGTTTCCCTGGGAGGAAATCTATTTTTGGCTGAGAAAACTCCTCACCTCACTGGGGAAGCGCAAGAATTAGTGGACAACACAGGGAGGAGAAATAGATCCCGCTCACCCTCCTTGCTGACCAGCACACCAGGTAGCCTGGGACTGAGCGTGGCTGGTGGGACTGCGATCTGTTCCTGTCCACAGTCCCATTCCCACCTTCCTGCAGGTGTCCAGAGCAAAGCAAAGGAGCTAATTCCCCTCTGCAGCAGCCGAGCAACTGAAATGGGGTTAAAAACAGAGAAGTTAGGTCCCCTTGGAGAACGCAGGGGACGAAGGTGTCTTGCTGTTCCCATCAGATTCACTTCCAGTGATGAAAGATGAAAAGATGAAAAAAGCTGGCTAAGTGGTGAAAAATGTATAAGAAAACATCAAATAGAGGCAGCAAAACCTTTTAAAAACATTCCTGTCGCCAGCTAGCTAGGTAGATTGTATGTGAGCATATCGTAAGTGCTGTGCATGTGTATTAAAGGAAAGGTAAATTCCAGAACTGAAATACGGCTCCCCTGAAGTCCCTGACAGAAGTCTCTCTCACTTCAGAGCAGTCAGGATTTCATCACAAATCCCACCGAGCCTATTTCAGGCTAGATAGGCCATGTACGGTGGGAACAAATAAGTCATCTGCAATGTGTTCAGTTTTTATAAAGGGATCTGGAAGCTCGGTAGGAGGTGTTCTTCAATCCTTACACACTTAGGAGGTTAAGATACACGTAACTTTTTCCTGCAACAAATCAGATTTGTCATTACTTGAATAAGTGCTGATAGAGACCTGGGAAGAAGTTAAATCCTCTACATGACTTCATGAAATAATATCAATGAAAATGCTTCAAAAGTGAATTAGGCTGCAATATCCTTACTTCATTTGTGACAACTGTTTTCCGAAGCCTGTGGCAGATCTTGGTAATAAAACTGGATCTAGGGACTGGGGGTTGTTCCAGGACTGGACTTCTTGCCTTGCGTTTTGGATGCTTCAGTTTTGCAGAACTTGAGGTGTGTTTTTTGTTCCTGTCTGCCTGTTAATTAGTTAAATAGGTAGGTTAAAATCTCTGTCTGGCTGTTAATGAGTATGGGTGCAATTCCCGGTGTTGCCAAGTGGGTTTTGTGACTTGAAAAAAAAAGTGAGTCATGTAAAAAATGGCTTTGGCTTTGTCAAAGTATTGAAAAGCATGTGCTTTACTGCGGTTGAAGACATTCAAGCTGCATTAAAAGTCTCCTTTGGGTCAAAATGATATGTGCACTTAGAGAAGGAGAGCAAAGTCCCAGGGTTTGAATCCTTGGTGTAACGAAGGTTTATTAAGTGCAGATCTTTTTTTGGACCTTGACAGCGGGATGGAAACAGAACGGGCCCACCTAAGCTTAGTGATGCCCCGTTGGGATACGTCATTTTGGAATAAACCAAACACAACTTAAGCCAGCTTCTTCTGTTTGGAAAGCTGTACAGGACCCTGGTTTAAAGCAGACCTCTTCTTTAGGAATTTTCTGTGGCAGGAAGTCTATTGATGTCTGATCTCAGTATGTGATTGTTGCAGCATTATGCACAGAGATCTCCACCGGGGGGTATCCAGATTAAACATACACCTATTCTCTTGGATTTATTTAATTTATTTTTGCATTTATGGGCTCCTGGAATCTTGAGGGCAGATTGTTTCCCATTGTTTAGGTGCTTAGAGAGTGAGATGCAGGAATAAGAAGCAGGTGTTGGTTTGCACTTTTCTCTTGGAAGACGTCTGCCCAGCTGGACGGACAGAGGTACTGCTTCATCAAATCACCTCGCACAAAGGCTGCTGCTTCCTTAGGCAGTGCCCATTCATATTTTGACACTTGTTTTGGTTCTTTCACGTGAGAAAGCATCCAGTGTGCCCGGCAAAACAAAACCACCGCCATGCTGGACCTCAGCCTGACCTTGATCACCTCGATGAAACCACACTTAATGAGATTTCAGTTACGAAATCCATTTTAATAATGAGCTGAGAACCAAGTGTCCTTCGTTAAATGTCATCTCTGGACATCAGAGACTTCAAATGGGATCTCCGGGCGTGCACAGCGTGTGTGGATGGCTGTGTAGGGCAGGTCTCACCTCCTGGGCAGGGACTGTCTGTGTGGGAAGGGCACGAGGGGGAGCCGTCCTGCAGCGAGTGGCAGCATCGCCACGCCATGCCTGTGTCTGAACGCTGCCAAAGGTTTAGACCTTACCTCGTTCTGAAGAACACATGATGAGATTTAAATGGGATTTTCAAAAGTGTGGCACGAGCTGATGTAGCAGACAGGACCAACAGGAATTTGGGAAAGAGGAGTATAGACATATTCTATTTCTTAAGTGAACAAACAAAAGCTGTGGAACCACACACTCCTGAACACTGGCAATTATTTTCTTTTGAATCCCTGACTTCCTTGTCTTACGCCATTTCTCTTTGGCAGCCTTCTATTTCTTCAAAATGCATATTGCTTTGCAAAGGGAGTTAAATACCGAAAGTATAAAATACTCTGCTCCGTCTCTGCCGCTGGTACCTCAGTGAAAACTCAGCGGTCCTGTGTTGCAGCGAGCAGAACAGGAATGCCTGGAAGGAGCACAGCCGGTGCCTGTGGACTGAGGACCAGCGGACGGCCAGAGTGTGGTGTGGGACACGGGGATACCTTCAACACCGTCTGCAGCTACAGCTTTAGGAGACATCTCTCAGCTGTTGTGACACCGGGGTAATTTCGCAAGCGGTGGAGTAGACACGGGTTGTGGCGGTGTGCTGACGAGGAATTCACAAAAGTCTGGGAGAAAGTTCTTACGTGGCCACTTCATCCTGGAGTAAGTGACTGCCATCAGCAAATGGGAAATCCCATCCCGCTCTCTTCTTGCCCCAGCTCTTTGTTGTTGCCACCTCCCTTGCTCAAGCGTTACTCTTCATGGCAATGACCTGGATCACAAAAGGCATCCAGCTAAAAACTAGGCAGGTTAAAAAATAAAATAAAATAGAATCACAAGCTTGGATGCAGGCCAAGCTGAAGTGCCTCTGCAGCTTGCAGCTTGTAAGAGTAAAAGTCAGAACAGGGCTATTAAAACTTGCCCATAAAGATCTAGGAGGGAGCCATGCATTAGGAATGAATCACGGGAAGTTCAAAAGCCGACTTCTTTCCCCAAAAGGATCTGCTCCCAGAGCCGGTGACTTTGCCAGGCCAAACGTCTGAAGGGTGCAGCCGCTCACCGGTGCAGCTTCCTCGATGTGGGAGCTGCTCCCTGCCGCGGTGCATTAGCATTTTTTTCCATGGGCACAGGCTAGGAGAGACAGGTTTCTTCACATTCTCCCGTATCTGCCTGAGAACAGCCTTCAGGAGGAACGCTGAGACACCACAGACTTCATATGTAACAGCTTTGGTGTGGGAACCGTGATCAACTGCTCTGTAAGGTTTTGGCTGGCTGCCCAGCCTGCCGGTGTTTGAGTTCTTGGGATGTCCTTGCACAGGAGTTGGAGGCGATTTATAGCTCGTGTGTTGGGAAACAGCTCTCGTGTCAATCGTTTTTCCGAGATAAGTGGCGAACGTGGAGTCTTCTGGGACTTTTGGGTAGAAAGACTTCAGATTTTTGTTTTCTTTTGAAGAAACCGAGGCAGCGCTCCCAGTCCTTCTATCCCAAGTAGGAGGCATTTGTGTGTTGGAAGAGTTTTGTTTCTGACAATCTGCATAAGAGAAACAAAAGAATTAGCCTGAACCCCCACCTCCTCCCAGACAGCCCTGCCTGAGCGCATTTTCGGGCTGCTTCTGCTCCGAAAAGATTTACGGCTGAGCTTTTCAGCTGTGCCGCGAGGCCGAGGTGCTGGCTCCCAAAAACGCCGCTTCCAGGTGCCGAATGCAGGCCCCGGTGCCTGGTGGCGAGGACCCCGAGCCGAGGAGAGTGGTGGTGAGTGGGGGCGTTAGCGTGAGGCTCCTGGGCCCCTTCCAGGCAGCCTGCGTGAGATTTCCTCTGGAGCTGCAGTCGGATTAGATACTCATCTTCTCTTCCTGTTCCAGGCCGTTGTTTAGTGTTGATGTGTCCTCTCACACGATCGCCAAGTTCCAGCACAGTGGTGGTGAAGCCAGTCCTGCATCGATGCTGGGATTTCTAAACTTTTGTAAGATAAGTTTAACCCTTGCTCTCCACTGGAGGTAGTGGCACGCGTGCCCCTAAATCTCTGTAACTGCTTTACAAATTCCAGTGCCACAAGAAGCTAAAACCCAGGCTCAGGCGTGCCTGGAGGCGGGCACACATGGAGGCACCGTCTTCTTTTGGGTGCTGGCAGCAGAACAAGCCTGGCATCTCGGTTATCTGTGCTACAGAAAGTGACCTGAGCCTGCCTCAATTCCTGGGGATCCTCACAGTTGAGAGTTTTCCCTTCCAGAACTGGGCCATGCCCTTCAACTCCAAGCTGACCTCTACATCACAATCGCTGTTCCAGCTCTTCTTTCGGACTCCCCTCTGGACGTGATGGGAGCAGAATGGCACACCGGTGAACGAGAGGAGTGCTGCAGAGGAATTTCAGCGCTGTGGTATTTGAAGATAAAGTGAGCAAAAGAAATGCAAAGGGCTTTCTGTGCCCCGCCAGACAGGGGTCTGGCTGGCTGAAGGGAGCCAAAGGCACGCGCAGACTTGCTGCTTTTGCAATGCACATAATTTCTCAGTTTTCATGGATTTCCAGTGCTATGGCAAATGTTCCACATTTTTAGCAAATTCTGGATATGGCAAATAAGTAACTTGTGATTTAAATGAATCAAAATTAATTGAAGGCATATTTCCCCAAACTGTTCAGAGATTCTTGAGAAGTCTAATTATATCAGCCAGACCGCACCTCCGCGAGCCAAATATCCTTTATCCTAAATACAGCTAGGAAGAGGTTAGGCATGTGACACAGCTCTTGCTATTCAGAAGCTTTTGTTTCTTGCAGACTTTGTAAATTGTTCTTCTGACTGCCTCTATGGATTTCACCACAGCTTGTCCAGCTGAGCAGGTTAGGGAGATGCTAAGAAGGTGCTAAGGGAGGCAAAAGCTTATATTGTAAGGCAAAATACATCATATTAACAAAAAATAATGTTAAGTATTATGCATAAATATTTAACTTATATGTTTTCAATAGGTCATCATTTACATGACTGGGTATAAAACAACTGAAAAAAACCTGGGGCATATGAGATGGAATTTAATATTCCTCTAAAAATGTAAGCGGCAAAATTTATCATAAATGGCTATTGTTATGTAAATGGACCAAGCTTCTTTTGCTGTTCTGTGGTTGGGTTGTTTTTAATCCTTGGAGATACAATATATGCACACACACCATGGTTGGTTATCAACGTAGATTTCATTTCCTTGTGTTTGCCTGCTTAGTGCAGACTCATTACTGACCAGTAAAGTCCTTTGTTGACACAAAAAGACATGGGAAATATATATATATTTATTTATTTATTTTTCTTTATTTAAAGTCTTGTATTTGTATGAAATGCTTCTCGTTGGTAAAACAAAATAAGCAGCCCAGAAGCACTGGCATGCAGAATTTCACCATTTCTTACATGGTGCATGTGCTGCAGCACAGGGACCATATAACCACGTAATGAGGAACCTGACACATTTTAAAAATCCAATGACAGGACCGATGGCTCGATGACTTAGAAAAACTTTTAAAACTCCTTGTCTGATAGTGTGAGGGTGAGTAACTCTAATAAGCTTTGAAATGTATTTCCTCTAGAACAATGTGCTCTGCTCCTTTAAAGTGCAAGCCTTTGATTCATTGAAAGGGCTCTGCTGACTTCTAAGGAGGGGAGTTGGGAGTGAAACTGGAGTTGGAGTGTTGACCTTGGTAAAGGCCCTGTATCTACAAAAGCTTGTTGCAATCAGAAAACTAAAGCAAACCCACAAAAACCCTCCCCCAAATCCCCAGCACTCTGCACAGAAGAGATGTCAGCCTTAGCTGTAGTTTTTATCATGACATCCCCAAATGGGACTGTGGCCCCATTGCTGTTGTTTGGGAAACGATAATATGGGCACGTTCTGTAGGAAAAAGATAAACATTAAAAAAAATCTGTGCTAATGCTCCTCTGGTGTCAGTGTGCAAAGTGCTGGTGTGGGTAATACTGCTTTACTCCTTCTGTTTTCAGCCTCAGAAGGACAAGACATCGGCTTGTTTCTGCATGACTGTGTAAAGAAATGATCATGGAGAAATGCAGCTGAGTGATGAGTTTCACACAATCAGATCCAAGGTCATTTTCTTCTCTGGCAGGTCTGTGACTTGGGGCCAGCCTCGAGGAAATTCTGTCTTCTCCATGTGAGCTTAAGTCAAAAAAGGAAGCATTTAATCAGGAGACAGGCACATTTTTCCACTGAAATAAATTAAAGCACAAATTAAAGCAGCTTCAAGCTGCAGCCACGTGCTTTGCAACACCTCAGACGGGCTCAGTGCTCACAGCCTTACAGAAGCTCTGAGTTTGGAAAGATCTCTAGGCCTTGAGTCAAACCATCTGTTCAGAGCTAACTTCTGAGCTAGAAATCCCTCACGGTGTTACCAGGTGGGTTTCGAAAATGCAGATCTGGAGGCTTTATAACCTCCTCGGTCCGTGTTCCAGTGCAGAACCACTGGCACTGTAAGGAACCTTTTCCTTCTGTCCTGGCAGGATTTCCTACGTCGTGCCTTTCGCCTCCTGTCCTTTTGCTGAGCACCTCTGAGAACATCCTGGTTCCATCACCTCTGGCAGGAGTTCAGGCAGGTGAGGAGGGCACGTGCCATGCCAGCTCATCCTCTCTTCTTCAGGGATTGATGTTTGAAGGTGCTTTTCATCTGCACATTGCAGTGCTTCTGAAAATGCCTTTCAGAAGGAAATCACGTCTGTTCCAGGGCCTTTCTAGACCTTGGGCTGCTGTCACTTGTGTATGAGCTGTGCTGAGCTTGAGGATCTGGCATTAATTCAGCTGCTGCCTCAAAATCCTTAAAGCACTCAGGAGAATTTAAAAAAATATATTAAAAAAAGGGATTGGTCTTTCCCTCTCTCCTCATCTCCCTTAATAGCATAGATGATTTCTCCTACCCTTAACCATTCTTCTTCCTCGAAGCCAGAATAAATTCTGCAGTTTTAGCACTGCTTGGGAAATGTCTCCCTAACACAGCACTTAGATTGTGGCAGTAAACAAGCATAGTTTCAGTTCATATCCCTTTTTTGACCGTGAAGCAGGTTTTCGGACTCAGATGGGAGTACCTGTGTGACGAGGAGCACGTGAGGGGTATTTGGTGACCGGTGCCTGAGGTCATAGCTCCTTCCCCTGCGTGGCCTCTGCCTCTGATGCGGTAAGCTGGTTAGGAGGATCCACACATAACATAGTGCTCACTCTGTTTGGGAGCCTAGCGTGCTACTCGCTGCTAAATTTACAGAGAAGAAAGCTGCTGCGTGCCAGAATTACATAAATTCCGCTGGTTTCCTATAGACTAAACCTCATATTCACTAGGTATGATTACCTCATGCTCACCTCTGCACCTGGGGAGTATACAAGGCCAACAAACAGACAGGCCGAGCCAGAAAAAAGCTTCCTGGTTCCTGCAATGGCTCTGCTTATTCAGTGAAACGCTGAATGGTGCACGAGGTCAGGGTGGGGGCACGCGTGGGGATCTGGAGGCCTGGCCCTGGTTATTGTGCAGTTCAGCCTCTGGCTCTGGGCGCTCAGGGCCTTGCCCCGATGAGGTCTGGCTGCTGAAAGGGACTGAGGTGAGATGCACAGTGTGGTTCTGCATGTAAATGGTGAGAGTGACTGTGTGGGTCCCAGCTTCTCCAGGACAGACTCAAGCAGCAGAAAGCTCCTGTTTTGCTAACATCACTGTTACACTTTGCTCTGGTGGTGCACCAGCTCCGTTTCCTGCTTACATCTCCACGTGCACACGGGGAGTCCTGTTCGCAGGGGGAGATGAGACATGAGGAGATGAGACATGAGGCTTTCTTCGCTGAAAGGCAGCGGGTGCAGGCAGAGAGTAATGACCAACTCAGGGAAACTCTCTGTTAAAAGAAGTGTCTTTTCAGCCCAAACAGGGGTTTTCACAGGCAATTCTTGTTTGTGTTACAGTGTTTTTGCAAATGAAAGCTTGATAGATTTTCTTTTTTAAATCAAAATATGTTTTTGATAAAGCAAAAGACCCCTTTTATCTCCCATTACATAAAACTTTCTGTCTCCCTCAGCTGTCCAGAGAGCTCACAGGCAGCAGCGACTTCTCTTTGTATGGAACAGAAAGATGATCTGTAGCGAAGAGTACTGCCTTTTCATTTTTATCTGCTCCATTTTTGCAAGGTATTTTGAGCTGAGCAATATTAGAGGCAGCATGAAATTAGGTCAGGCTACAAAATACCCTGAGTGTACCCATAGGGCCTTAAAGGAAGTGCCAAGTGTCTCCAGAGCCTTGCACCTTGCTTGGCCTCTCCCTGCTGGTGACTTCAGGATGCACGGTCCCTTCACACTCATGACACCAGATCTCTAATGTCTGCATTTTCAGAAGCTGCTTTCCAAGGAAAAGTTGTTTTTCATGGTCTCATTTGCTTGTCTGTGTATTTGTCTCCCTCCCTCATCATGTGGAACCCGCTCACCGAAGGGAGTTTAACTCTGCAGGGTCTGTGACACAAGGAGGCTCACCACTGAGGGAGGCACCTTAAATGCTTTGTCTCTGACCTGGCCTCACACCTTGCTAGCCACCCGAGGACCCACACGAGTGAGGCAGTGCGATGTCTGAACCACAGGCTGCGTCATAAAGCAAAATCCATCCAAGTTTGCTTAATTCCTACGCTCGTTTTACTTTCACCCGGCTGCCTTCCCGGTTATTGCTCCCGAACATTTTTGCCACGCCCTCCTTCTCTCTAACTCTTTTCAGTCCTTCCTGGAAATGTATCTCAGTCATTAATTAAATCACTTAATGGGAGCATCAAGATAGTTGCAGGATATAACGAGCGATCCTATTACTGTGACCGTTGTCCTGCCTTCTCCGGTCCCCACCCACCTCTTTCATTTTTGCTCCCGCGGCCTGTTGTATCATGTCTCCGCGGAAGATTACCATTTCAAGGCAAAGACTGTGCCATTGTTTTCTGAGAACCACCCAGGATAGCTAGGGGAGCTCAAGTAATAATAACTATTATTAATAGTGTGGTAGAGGGTGGAATTTGGCTGCCGTCTCCTTTTTGTGTGCAGGGCTTTACGCTGCGATACGTTGCTGTGCTCCAGCGTGTGCTTGCCCCTGGAAAACACAGACCATGGGGACTTTGCCTCGGCTTTTAACGTTCCTGAAAATATTTTTGAGTCAATGCAGCTTGAAAATCTCATTTGAAGCGAACTCCTCCTGTCCCCATGGCATATTTGCCCCAGGGATGTGCCAGCAGGTTGACTCAAGCCAGCGTTTGGACGACGAGCAGCACTGGAAGCCGTGGCCCAGGAGCAGCGTGCTCCCTGACCGTCCCTCTCAGCACGCCTCTTCCCTTGCTGACAAGCTGCTGGAAGACAAACGAGACAGGCTGAGGCTGAGCAAGCACCAGAGGTGCACACAGTGTGTGTCCGTACCACCGTTCCTCAGCCCCAAGTCTCACCTACCCTGGCAAGCAAGATTTTTTTACATAATTGACTTAATTAGCTCAATCGAACTAGGGATTGCGAAATAACCTGGATACACAAATTTCTTCCAGGATGGTACTGTACGCGGTAACTGGGATAACAGCTTTTCTTTAGTCACCTGCCAAACCCTTGGCTTGGTTTTTATCGTGACTTGAAAAAGAAATGACATCATTAATGCAATAATAACAAATCATTTCTATGTATATCAGGGGATCTTCCGACTGGATCATTTTAATGATTGCCCTCCAGCTCACTTTTTCTTTCAGACATCATCTTCATGTCTAGTAATAACTATTCATTCACTTCTTTCTCATTGTTTTGGTTCTTGGTAAGGGAAGCAAAAAGGGCAGAACCCTTCAGAAGCATTCACATCCAAATATATCAATGATTGCATTACCTCTGAGCAGGTTCTTGCAGCTTTGTGTAATGTTTATTGTTTTATTTATTTATTTTTTCTTCGGAGTTTCTGAGGTTTGGAATGCAAAGCATTCCTTTGTTGGTAGTATTGTTGGTACTATTTTTAATACCCAGACTACTTTATGCTTTCTATAGAAAAGCAACATCTCTCACAGTTCGTTCATCTCTTCATTAGAATACAAGGTTTGCAGCATTGTCTGAAGTCAAATAAAATTTATTGGAGCCTGTACATCTTTTGGGGAGAGATTCCTATCAACAGGGACTAGAACCAAATCTTTTGACCTCTTTTCTTGACTATGCCTTTAAGTCACCGTCTGACTCCGGTAATTTAATTAACTTTTTAGCACTTGCCTGCAAAACAGGGATGATTATTTTCATCCTCACCC